CACTAATTGCATTGCTCAGGAGCACTGTGCCCTGGCCTGGGGATGGTGCAGGGTTTTATCTCTAGCACCATGCAAAAAAAACAAACAAACAAACCCAAGTCAGGTTGGTGCTGAATGATGGCAGGAGCACTTGCTAGCCTTCCCGCAAGGGAAGTTACCACCTAGCTGTTGGCCAGGTCCCAGTGTGGGAGCTAAGCTAAGGGCAGCTTCTTTAGAAGCTTGTGGGAAGATTGCAGAACAATGCCAGGATGTTGGATTGTTCTTAGCCCTGTGTAGACATGAGGAGCTGTGAGGTCAGAATGACTCTGCTCTTCCCTAGTAGTTGTCCCAGAGTCTGTGAGAAGGAAAAACCCATCGTGGCTTGCTGCCTTCATCGTACTGCGCACGGTCCGGCCGCTCTCAGTTCTAGTGCGGGTTCCATCAGGTTAGGCTGTAGAACAGCGATGTGAAGGAAGGGAGCTGTATGATCGCCTGCAGGGCGACAGTGGCACAGTGTTTGTCAGGGGAGTGCAGGACGGAGGGAGCAGCACCGGCTGACTGGTCTCTGGAGCAGAGCTGGTGTCCCTGAATGTCACCTGGTGGTGGGTGAGGAGGGTGGACCAGCTGCTGCAGTCCTCTTGCCCCCAGTGGGTAGACCTGTTTGTGGCCTTCGCCTGGGCCTGACTCTGCTCGGCACGGCCTGAGAGTCAGTGTTGCTGAGAGATAGCTGCTCATGCTCAGAACTTGCCAGAATTTGCCAGATCACATCACCGAGGCAACGCTGGTGGGCAGCTGGAGTGTTGGGCGCGTTCATCAGGCTGCCGCCCACTCATCTAGATCGGCTCCAGCTGACCTGGCATCCTGTTAAATGCCACTCTGATCTAGGAAGTCCCCGCAGAGCGCCAGGGGAAGCCGCTGTACCTCAGAGCCCTCTCTTGCTTGTGAGGTTCTTCTGTCCCAGTCTCAATGGCTGCTGCCACTCGGAATCCTACACAGCCCCACAGCCCCACAGGCTTAGAGGGCTGTGAGCAGTTATATTTACCCTAACAGCTTTCACTGAGTTAGGGACGGCTTCTCACCAGTTTTAACTGAGCCCTTTTTATCTTTAAGACCTTGTCTCACAGTGTGGCCTAGACTAGCCTGGAATTCACTCAGTAGCCCAGGCTGGCCTTAGATTTACTGTGCTGCTGAGGATGACTCTGAATTTCTGATCCTTCTGCCTCTTCCTCCCAAGTGCTGGGCTAGCACCATGCCTGCTTTGTGCAGTGCAGGAATTGAACCCTGGGCCTTGGGCATGCCAGGCAGGCATGAGCTGCATTCCTAGCACAAATTGTGCTTTTTTGAGAGTAAAGAAACCTCCAGTAAAAAAACAAAAAACAGAGAGCCATATTTTGGGGCCTCCCTGGGCTGTGTAGTGAGTTCGGGCCAGCCTGGTCTACAGAATGAGACTCTCACAGAAATCAAGGATAAAGTAAACCAGTTGTCATGGTGTTAGGGTGTCTCGAGGCCCTGGCTCTGGTAATTGGCAGAAGGGTTTTTAGCATTGTTTCCTCCGAGACGTTCAAATATTACAGAGACCTTCACAGTCCCATGGGACAGTCCTACTGCCTGACCACCAGACAGGTTCTGTACAAGTACCGTGGAGTGCACTACTGTAAGCCACCACACACCTAGGTCACCATCCTATGTCAGCCATTTGTGGGAGCCTCATAATGACTGAAATCACTGGGTAGCCTGCCCACGGAATCTCCCCAGCCCCTGGTGCTGGGGATGAAGCACGGCCTTGTGCGTGGGAGGCACGTGTTTTTCCGCCGAACTCCACCCCCAGCCCATGATAAGAATTTCCTGGGTTTAATTTGCAGACTTAAATCATGTTAGTGGTCAGGTTTCCTCTCTGAGGTTAGCCTGGTTCCTGGATCAAATCTGTTGGTGCTTGATTACAAAGGGCTGAGGCCTGTCACATAGCATGTCCTCGTGATGATCAGGTGGGTGTTTAAATGTTCTCTAGCCTGTGGTTACCCATGTAGAGTTGACCTGTGCATTGGAGCGCTCAGCTTTGGAAGGCAGTTCACACAGACAGACAGACAGACAGACAGACTGTGGGTCTGAGGACTTGAGTAGAGGCAACTTTTTGGGGCTCAGTTAGTCAGCATTAAGACCTGGTGCCTCCCACATTGTGTGCACCCGTTGTGCAGTGAGACTCAGGGCAGCTGTGTTTGGTAGTCGGTTCTGGTTCTTCCTGGCAAGGATACCTCCGTGGAGGTCAGACCCAAGGTGCTGGGTCTGGGCCACACTGCTGCCCTTGTCTCAGCCCCTTCCTCCTCAGCTGACTTTATAGAAACCACTTAGCTCCAGCAATCAATTGCAAGGATAGACTGTGCTGGGTCACCATATTTGAAGTTGTATTCTGGGCTGTGGAGGGTATGGTGACTTTCTGGAAGGTGAGCCAGAGATACACGGCTAAGATGCTCACATCCTGGTCCAGCCGACTGTGGTCTCTCCACTCCCCGTCTCTCCTGCACATCTGTTGGTAAGCATCCTTCCCTACAGTTAGAATTGCTGTGAGTAGGCGGGGCCTTTTACAGACAGCTGGCCTGAGCCCCGTGTTGTTCTGGAGAGATGAGCTCACCAGTGGGGGGAGCCAGGCCGAGGCCCCTGTGTGTGACTCAGTCTCTGAGGTTCACCAGTAACATCTGTTTACAGTTGCGCACACCAGTGTGCAGTGCTGGAACCTTGCCTGGATCTTCTCCCAGAGGGGACAGCCAGGCACAGCTGAGAGGAGGGTACTGTGTGGGACCTGGGGTGCAGGAAGGGAGCTTGAAAGGAACTGGCACCTCAGGTCCCACCAGAGCCCCCCAGAGAGCCTCCTCGATGCCTGCATCTGACAGCCATGAGTACTGACAGGACCCCATCCATCCAGAGCATGGGGCTGGTGACATCTGTTACTGAGGAGGAAAAGACCAGCCTCGGGGGACCATCAGAACTGAAGTGCTGAGGACATGGCATTGGAGACACCCTCCCTCCCCCCGCCGCCGCCGCCCCACTAGGCTGCACTGTGACCCATTCCAGACAGCTGGTGTCCCACCCTGTGCAAGGCTTGAGTCCTGACACGGGAGGTCCCTGTGAGCATCTGATGAGGTCATACTGTGAAGCCCAGCCTGACACTTCACAGCGTGTGATCCTGGAAGTGTGAGCTGTAACTGTCTGGGTCCCAGGGCCCTCTTACCCCTTCTCATGCCATGTGCTCACTACTGGGGGTGCTGACCTAGCTTTAGTCCTGGGTCACACTGTAGCTTGTGGTCCTTTGTTCAGGTCACATCCCCTCTGTGTCTCCTGCCTCAGTGCTAATGGGTAGGACATGGTCCTTTCCTGGACATGCTCCCAGGTTTAAGTATAGTGGATCCTGGCTAGCCCTTGCAGGGGCACACTGGTGAGGGATGGCACTGTGGATGGAGGCTGCCCAGGCCTGGTGCAGTTAACTGTGCTGGTAGCACCCCCATTCCCCAACCTGAGATCTGAGGCAGAGGGCTGACATTTGGTCGACGTGAGTTGGGTGTGGGGTGGAGCTGTGGTGAGCTGGAGGAGGTGTCAGGCTGCTAAGGACCTTTCTATTGATGTGCTGTTAGAAATGGGTCTGGGCTGTCAAGACAATTACCGCATCATCCGAAGTATTTGAAAAGGAAAAAGATCTACTTCTGCAGAAGGGTTTTTATGTGGCTGTGCCAAATTAGCAGGCAATCACACCCAGTGGAAGTCCCACTTGGGTTTTGTTTCTGTTGCTTTGTTTTGTTTTGTTTTGTTTTTGTTTTTGTTTTTCAAGACAGGGTTTCTCTGTAACTTTGGAGCCTGTCCTGGAACTAGCTCTGTAGACCAGGCTGGCCTCAAACTCACAGAGTGCTGGGATTAAAGGCATGTACCACCACTGCCTGACCCCCACTTGATTTTTATTCCTAAGGCAGGTGGTCAGGGCTCGACCTCACCCTCTTACATGGCTGGCTAACTTAAAGGGACAGTCATTAGCAAAGAGCCCACTGAGGAGGGTTCCTGTTGGATGCCTCTTTACAGATGTCTTTGAAGATGGAAGGTCCTTTGCCCCATTTAGCCCTTTGACAGAAAGGGCCGCACATCCGTTTGCATTTCCCTCAGTAGGACTAGGGCACTTTGACCAAAGGGACATTGGTGCCCCACTGCTCTCCAGCATCTGCTGTGAGGACCGGTCAGGGCTGAAGGGAGCCAGGATGTGCCCCTGGGACCATAACACCAGTGTAGACTTCATATAGGTGTGACAGGCACCAGTTCCAGACCACTGAGTACCTCACCTCATTGTACAGTTAGGCTGCTGGACCACAGCAGAGCAGACCGCACAGGTCTGCATTGAGGGTGGCCCTGCCTGCAGCGGAGCAGGGCTCTCATTTGTGATAAGGTAGAGAGGTTGCCACAGTGAAGTGCTGTAGCACAAATTCTAACTGGACTTAATGAAAACCCTGAGTCAGATATTGGGGTAGGTGCTGAAAGATCAGAGAAGTAAAGGAGCAGGCACTAGAGAGACTGCTACCAAATCCTCAGACCAAAGCGGGCAAGATCCTGTTTCCACGAACTCTCAGACTGAATGCGGTGAGCTCCTGTCTCCTCCCGCCTTGTATTCTCTGCCCAGCCATATCCCTTCCTGTCTTCACCTTCCTAGTGCTGGGATTAAAGGTGTGAGCCACTACCCTCTTGGCTCTGTTTCTCTTTTAGACTGGATCAATCTCCTGTAGCCCAGGGTGTCCTTGAACTCACAGAGATCCTTCTGCCTCCCAAGTGCTGGGGTTAAAGGTGTGTGCCACTACTGCCTGGCCTCTATGGCTTATTAGTGGCTAGCTCTGCACTCTGATCTTCAGGAAGCTTTATTTATTAGCCTGCCTGAAATATCGCCATAAAGGGCAGATTCTTATGAATAAAGGAGCGTCTTTCTGTCACAGTCACCATCTCTGCTGCTTTGTGAGTTCCCGATTTTACTTCTGGTGTGTTTCTTGTTGCAGAGTATGGCGTTTGTGAGAACCTGCGGAAGCTGGAGATCACAGGCGTGTCTTGCCGGGACGTCTATGCAAAGCGTGAGTGGCCCCTTTGTCTTATCCACCACCCTGTCCTTTGTACCAGAGTGCAGTAAGTGGTGGCAGCCATGACTGACAGCGGTGCTTCTTTCTCCTGTCCTGGACACAGCACTCTTAAGTTCATAATGGCTAAAGACATCTTAACCGAGACACCCAGGGCCTGTGTTTCTGTTTACCTAATCTAGATTTTACTTTTGGTGGTGTTGGGGGTTCAGTGCTAGGCAGATGCTCTCTTTGTCTGTGACCCACATCCCAGCCCATATGTTCTATTATTAACATACATGATAGTTGTATGTATTTGTGGGTACAGTGACCTCTTTACTATACATAACATATACTGGTCAGGTCAGGGTTAATGGCATGTCTGTTACCCCAAACATTTACTCCTGTGTTGGGAGGGCTCAGGTTCTGACTCAGAGTGAACAGTTGTCTGCTGTGCCGTAGCACACTGGCTCTGCCTCCTGCCCAGCTCCCACTTATACCTGTTACCAGAGGCCAGCACTGAGCAGTGCAGGCTGGATAGGGACACTCTGGTCTTCTGGACTTGAGCCTGTTGAGATACAGCTTTCAGGGATTGAGAAGCGGAGTTGTGTTTCCCATCAGCTCCCTCAGGTTTCAGAGTGACTGCGCACGCGCCACGGTCCACGTCCTTCGATAGCTCTGTGTTCCCTTTCCTGTAAGTGTGTTAACCCCTGGTCTAATTTCTCATCTCACCAGCTCCTTCACTTTCTAAAACCAGCACCCTTTGTCCCCAGTTAGCCTCTCTCCCGAGCCGGTGGTGCTCATATGTTTCACACGGTGGTCAAGTGGCTGCCATTCATATTTTGGGTGATGCCGTCCCCTTCTGACTGCTCTGAGCATGGCTGCCTGACCCTCATCATTACGAGCCGGTAGACACAGCCTGCTCCCTGGGAGTTAGGAGCTCCGGGCGGCTCATCCTCACAGGGGTGCAGCTGTGGACACTGCCCGGGTGTCCGTGTCCTGTGGCAGCCCAGGGAGCACACATGGACGGGGTTCCTTAGCTGCGGTCTTCTGTCCCGTGGGAGAAACCACGTGGGTAGAGACCTGGAGACAGTGTTGCCAAGGTGTGGTGTAGGCGAGCAGGTGAGGGCGGCAGGCTTCTGCTGTTGGACTCTGTGAATTTGCTGTAGACACGGAACCCATCCTCTCTTCCTGCTTCTAGCACCCCGGGACTTTGGGCTGCACAGGCCAGAGCGTGCGTCAGTGGTGATTCTGCTGTGTGGGAGCTGAGACTCTGAAAGTCTGTGAACACTCCTAACCTCTGGGACTGATGGCTGAAGAGAGTTAGCCTGAGTCCCTGAACAGGTGGCCAGGCTGGTTAGTCTGGATTCAGCAATAACGGGTGATGTTGCCCTGAAACACACAGCGCGAGGACAAGGAGATGGCGAAGCTGGCTGTGGGCCAGTGTAGGGGGAAGGAACCCTGCCCGACCTCTAGGGACCTGTCAGCCACACCTGCTCTCCCACTTCCAGGCCCCGAAGAGCTGTGACCAGGGAGTGAGGGGGTCACAGGGGCCACCCGAGTTTATGGCTGCAGTGAGTTGCCGTAAACAGGGAAACCTGCCCCATAGTGTGCTCTGCAGTAGCCTGACCTCCGGCAGGAGGAACTGGGTGCCGAGTCCCCTGGCAGCTGCTCGCATGTGAGGGGATGGCCCTCAGCCTTTCCTGCTGTGTCTGTTCAGGTATAAACCCTCGCGTGAAGTCAGGACGCTTCATGAAAATTCTCCCCGATTATGAGCACATGGAATACAGAGATGTGTACACCTGCCGTACGTACCCACGCCCTGCACTGTGGCTACGCTGTCGCTGCATGGGTCACTACAGGCTCACCTCCTGTCCCCGGGAGGATGCTAACCCCCGGTCTTTTCTCCTTTGCTCTGCTGCAGCTGTGGTTTGTGGTTTGCTGTGGTGGGTCAGGCTGAGGGGTAGCCTGGGCTCTGTATGCAGGGGATGGGATCCCACAGTAGCCTAGCCGTTTGGGCAGGCATCTCTTACCTCTGGTTGTTAAGGCGGTGACAGAGAAATTCAGATAGAGCCGAGAGCAGAAGGCAGTGTAGAGGCCTTTAAAGCTCTTTCATTTGAAAATAACATGTAACTGGGCTCAGTGCCACATGCCTGTGAGCCCAGCCCTCATGAGGTCGAGGCAGGAGAATTGCTGTGATAGCTTCCAGGATAGCTTGAACTATAGAGTAGGACAACTTTCAAAAAACAAAATAATAATAAGAAATGTAAACCACTCTCTAAGTCTGTCAGTTAATCACGTGAGCTTACAGAAAAATCACCCCCACCCCCACCCCATCAGACTCAGGGAACCACTGCTGCTTCTTTAGAACTGGATTCTTGGCCCAGTGGGTCAACACGCTTGCCTTGTAAGGCCGGTTACCGGAGTTCAGTTTCAGGAACCCACGGAAAGGTAGGAGAACTGACTCCATCAGATCGTTGTCTCGGCTCCGTGTTCTGACTGCAGCATGTGGACACACACAAATGAAATTATAACAAAGTCTTTAAAAAGTCACCTACCTTGGTACTCTGAATTCTGGAAGTTTCCTTTGACACAGCGAGAGTGAATTTCAGTTGTCAAGAAAGAGATCAGAGGGGCTGGAGAGATGACTCAGTGGTTAGGAACTCTGGCTGCTTTTCCAGAGGCTCTGAGTTCAATTCCCAGCAACCACAGGGTGCCTCACAACCATCTATAGTGGGATCTGATGCCCTCTTCTGGTGTGCATGTGTACACGCAGACAGAGCACTCCATACATGAGAAAGAGATCAGAGCTGGGAGTGGCGGCCCTGTCTGCCACTCCCAGCTCTTGATGGAGGCAGGAGGATTAGGAGTTTAAGGCTTACTTTGCTATATAGTAAGTGTGAGGCCAGTCCTAGCTCCAATAAAACCCCAAACAAAAGTTATGAATGGCCATTTTCCCCCTAACAAAAGCAGTAGAACGAATAGGCAATCTGTTTCATAATGCGCTCTCGAGGGCTGAGCGCGTAGCTACTGTGGACACGAGGTTCTGATTCCCTGTGGGGACAGTCCCAGCCTGTGAGATGCTTGCCTTTGTCCAGCATGCTCCTGGGTGTTGTGTGGGCACTGCATAGCCGCTAACAAACACCTTTGCTGCATTGGCTGGCATGGAGGTGGACTAACGGCCAAGGTCATGACAGGGCATGGGAAGCCCTAGGCGTGGGAGGGCACGGGACCTGGGCAAGGCTGAGCTAGGGAGCACTGTCCGATTGCTGAGTAGAGACAGTGTTTCCAGAACACCGTGTCCCGAGCCAACCAGCCCTCCCTGCTGAGCAGAGAGCAGGAGGTCCTGCCAGCCCCACAGGGAGGAGACGGCTCTGGGAAGCCATGGGAACAGCTGACCCCGTGCAGGGTCAAGGATCTTCCCCACCCCCGACCCTGCTGTAGCCATACATTCTTCTGAAACAGCATGGAAGCCCAGCCCTCCCAAGACGTCTGGAGAGGGTAGTGCCTTCTCCCTCACCCCTGGGAGGTGCTGCTGAGTGCTAGGGTTTTCAGCCTCCTGTTTGGTGGTCCTGCTGCTTGTCCCTGGCAGCAGTGACAGAATGGGGATTGCTGTCCTATCAAGGTTTGAGTGCATTTGAGTCACCCAGCACTTGGTGGGGGCTGGAGAGCCAGAACAGTACAAGGAGCGTCACTGGTGGTGAGCCCCTGCAAGCCCTAGCCTCTGAGTGCTACCATGTGACCCGGAGCCTCATGCCTCTGGCTTCCAGGCACTTAGTGTCAGCCGGGCTCTAAGGCTGTGTTTTCTCTTCAGCCTGCTGTGACGTCCCTGCACCGAAGGCTTTGGGACCTTGTCCTGCCTGGGCTTTAGTCACCCACAGGGGCCTGAGTTGGGACTTACGCGTGGATGGGATGTGTCCTGATGGAGGACTGTCACACGGGCCTGTGGAGTGCCAGTGATCGGCCTCAGCAGAGCATTCAGGGACACTCTTGTCCTTGGTTGTTGTGGTTGTCTGTCCCTGCTTGTGTGGGTTGGGGGTGACTGCAAAGTCCTCTGAACTTACAAGGTACTTGGAGCGACTGTGGGTGCCAGGTCTGTGGTGATGCTCCAGAGTTCTGAGGCAGATGCAGGGTTGAGGACATGGCTTTGCCTGTGGTAATAGGATGTGGATGACTCCCGTGAACCCTAGGCTGCACAGTGGAACATGCTAGGAGGCCTCCCACAGAGCTCCAGACCCCCTCCCTCCCCAAGGAGCCACTAACACCGATGCTCCCAGAGGGCTGGGGAGCACATCAGGAAGTCTGGAAACAGGTGACAGGGCGGGCTAGTCTTCTCGGTATTGTGCACTATGGCACTTCTGCCTTTGACCCTGTGACTAGGACAAGAGGCCTATTAGTTGCATTTTTCCTTTTGGACAAGAGGTAAGTATGGGGCCACTCAGGCTCACCCACTGTCCGCGAACAGACCTGAAGACAGAAACTTACCCAGTTATTTCTGTCTTAGGTGGGGGTCATGCTCGGGCTGTTTTTCTGAATGTTGCTGAGATGTCTTTGTTCTGGGCAAGCCTAGGCTATCCCTTGAGATAGCACAGGACTCACCCTGGGAGGCGAGTTTAGTGTTTCGGTTGATCCTGTGAGCAGCTTATAGACTGGCTGCTGGGAGAAGCAGCTTGTTTCCTCTCCTCTGGGTGTCCGGCTCTCTTGCTGGTGTGAGCAGAGGGAGGAGGCTGGCCTCTCCTCGGGGTTTGTGTGTAAATTAATGCGCCACCAGATGGAGTCACCCGTGACGTGTCCTCCCTGTTCCCGCAGCGCACAGTCACTAATCTCTGAGTTGCACTGGTTTCTAAAATGGGCGATTTCTCCAGCTTTTCTATTTTTCAGCTATAAATGATGACAGACTGTTACTGTTTTCTTCTTCCACCTGCCCTTTGAAGCATCCTCCTTACCGTGCAAGATGACACAGTGGCCACTCTTTGGAGTGTGCCCCCATCTCCCTGCACTCTGGCTCTGGTGTTGCCTGCTGTGCTTGTGAGTTTAGAGACAGGTAGCAAGGCGATATTCGGAAGCTGTGGTTCCTGTGGGTCTGTGTGCCTGCAGCCTGTGTATCCTTGTAGCTCTTTGAACATGTCTGGTGGCGTCCCAGACTGACTAGGCAGCCTGACACTTGTTAGAGTTGCTGAGGATGTTGCTAGCATTAGATGCATTCAAAAATGTCCACATTAGTATGCCCTGCCCCTGGGCCCTCCTTGGGCCCTTCCCTGTGTCGAGTTGTGTCACTGACCTGTGTCAGTAATCAGTCACGACTGCTTCCCTGAGCCTGGGCAGTGACCCATGCCTGTCAGCCCCCTGTGATGGTCTTGGACTGGGCCCGGGGGTGGTGGCAGTTCTTCACAGTGTCAGAGACTGGGCTGCCCCTCTCCCTGCACCACAGGCCAAGGCCTCTGGGTCCTATTCCTTTGTGGTCCTGCCTCCACGGCCTTCACAGACCCCACGCCTCTGCACTGACAGTCAGGACCCTCAGGGGCGTCCTGCTGCATCCATCTGTCGCTCTGAGCAGCAGTTGTGCAGAAGCAGTAGCTACGGTGGTGGGCACGGTGGGACCGTCATCTCTAGTGGCTCATGGTGGAGGTGTCTCCTGTGCCCCAGGAGCATCCTGGGTGAGTGGAGCATGCTGGGTAATAGTGCCCCTTCTCTCCCCACAGTGCTTCACCGATACAGACACATTTTGGGGCTGTGGCAGCCAGACATCGGGCCATATGGAGGACTGCTGAACGTGGTGGTGAGTGGGAGCCTCGTGGTGGCTGTGTGGGGGGGAGGTGCCCACATCGAGAGCGGCAGTGCCATTTCTTGACTCCATAGAGGAGACTGAAAAGCCGCCCCTAGCGTTTCCGTTCAGGGCCAGATGTTACTTTCCAAGTGAACAGAGATTTGTTGTAAGCGGTCCATTAGCCCTCTGACTGTGCTCCTGGACTGTTTAAAGACGCTCAAGCAGCCATAGGGCCCTTAGCTCCCGGATGTCCCGGATGCTGAGGCTGCGGGCTCATGTCTGCGGCCACAGGCTCTGATGGGCAGTTGGCTGAAGGAGAGAACGACCCGTGGTGTGCCCACTGTCTCTTTGCTGCAGGTGGATGGTCTGTTCATCATTGGCTGGATGTACCTACCTCCTCATGACCCCCACGTTGGCGACCCCATGCGATTCAAGCCTCTGTTTAGAATCCACCTGATGGAGAGGAAGTCAGCCACGGTGGAGTGTATGTACGGCCACAAAGGGCCCCACAACGGCCACATCCAGGTAGAGGAGGGCTAGGTCCCCTGGGATGGGACAGGCATGTGCAATTGAAAGGCCATCCTCCTTCGGTTGTCACGACCCCATGCCATCCTGGTGGGTGCCGTGGCACCTTTAGCTGCGTCCTGACGCGGTTCAACTATGGCCCCCTAGCTGTAGGCTCTGGCTTGCCAAGCTCAGTGGAGTGGGGGAGTTTCCCCCCATGGTTTGTGTCCGTGTGAAGATGGAGGTTGCCGGAGCTCACTGGAACTTTCTTTTGCTTGGAGCTTCGCTGCTGTCTCTGCAGGCTGATTTCTCCGCTTCTGTTGACTGGTGTGGCAGTGTGCAGTCACGTGCTCCACTCGGCTGCTGCTGCTGCTGCTGCTGCTGCTGCTACCGCTGCTATCTCCTGGGGGGGGGGGTGACACGACACACACGTGCTGTGCCTGCCTCTGGAAGTGCACGTGCCAGGAGGCGGGGTTCTGACTCTTCCTTTCCAGTGGCCTCTTACAAATGCATTTGGGCCTTTTTTGTTTGGAATGTTTTGAAAAAATTACAAATCAGCCATTTTGTGTGTATGTGTGTGCCACAGTGCACATTTGAGGGTCATAGGACAACTTACGGGAGTCAGTTCTCGCTTGTCGTGCAGGCTTTGGGGATCAAATTCAGATCTTCAGGCTTGCTTGATGATAAATGCCTTTATCTGCCAAGCCATCTCACCAGTCCTTAAAAATTTATTTAGGTGGACATGTGTGTATGTTCACCTGTGTGTGGATGCATGTGAGCATGTGTATGCATCCACGTGGTGATGGGACCAGCCTCAGGTGGTGTCTGTTGTTACCTGTGAGCTATCCCTCTTGTGTTTTGAGTCGGGGTCTCTTGCTGTGACCCGGGACTAGCCAGTTATGCTAAGCTGGCTAGCAAGCCTGAAAGACTGGTCCGGCTTTGTCTCCCCAGCTCTGGGATTGCAAGCCAATCCCCCTCACCCCACTCCCTCTCAGGTTCTAATGCATCCAGCACTATCACTTCACTGACTGTCTTCGCCATTGCCGCTGAGTAACACACCCCAGCCCTGCTTTTGTTCCAAGACAGTTGCACTGAGTGGCCCAGCCTGGCCTGGAGTTCATCCTCTTGCTCAGGCAGAACCCAAAATCTCCTGCCTCAGCCTTCCAAGTAGATGGAATTATAGGCCCGCACCACCAGACTTGACGTATTTTGGCGAGGAGGGTGGTGGACATTGGGACTCATTGTTTCTCCTGGTCCCTTTCCTTCTGTGGTCACGCTGAAGATTGTGAAGAAAGATGAGTTCTCCACCAAGTGCAACCAGACAGACCACCACAGGATGTCCGGTGGGAGGCAGGAGGTGAGTTCTGGAGTCTAGGAGGGAGGCTGTGGGAAGATGTTTGCATGCCTGGCTGTCTTTTCTCCTGGACACTGACCTGGCTCCTGTTGATTGAAATAGAGGTCCCATCATTGGGAATTGGCATCTCATAACTGGTGTCCTTGCTGCATACTGTCCCTCCAAGCCTGCCTATGCAGAGATGTCTGTGCATCTCTGTGGGCACATGCCTGACCCTGAATATTCTGAAATCACTCCCTGTGCTCTCCTGCACCGTCTAGTGGGGACCTACCCTCTTCAGACTGCTAGAAGCTGTGTCTAGATGTGTCTGTCATTCAGGGGCCCTGAGGGCTCTTCAGGGCTATTTCTCCATTTGGGACCTAGTGGCCTGGGTTTTAGATCATGGCAGCAGAGTGGATACCCGAAAGTGCTCGGCTTTCCACTGCTTGCACAGTGAGTTTATATTGCTTTTGAGGTTTGAGTTTTGATTTTTGAGCAGCTAAGTCACACAACCATGAAGAACAACTAGACATTGTTGAGTGTGCGTGTCTGTTTATGATGGCTGTACATCGGTAGCCAGCTTCCGAGTTTCCAGGGTTCCTGGTGGCCAGAGACCCACAGGAGAGTTCCAGTAAACAGTGCTGTTAAACTTCGGTTCCCTGCAGTCATGACTTGCCACCCCTGTGAGATTTTTGGAGTTCCCTTCAGCTGTTAAGTTTAGAGGTCGTGGGCTCAGTTTCTGGAGTGTGTGATGGAATTTGAGGGATTCTAAAGGCTGATAATGCCGCATGCTCCTGGCCAACAGGAAACAAGGACTTTCCTGGGAGCTGGGTGTCTCAAGATGCCCTGTGTTCACAAGGTCTGGCTTTCCTCGGTCCTGGGCCCTGGTGACAAATGCATATCTCTGACCACATCCCAGACAGGCGTGTCTATCCCAGGTGTCCACAGACACTGCCTGAACTTTTCCTTACAGCAGCTAACCAGCGCCCTCCCCTTACCTAGCCAGCCCCCTTTCCTTCTGACTGGGGCCTTTAGAGATGGCCTGGGAAGAGCAGAGGTAGGGAAGAGGAAGAAGTCTGACCATGTCATCCCCCTTGGCCATCTCCCAGGACTGTTGGGAGCATGTGATGGTGATTGCTGAGTGCCAGGCACAGTGTGTTCCCTGGACGGACATGAAAGTCACTCCTGAGCTCTGTTCAAGCCCTTGTGTAGCTGGAGCTTGCCCTGGTGGGCTGACCGGTGATCACCCTGCTTCAGATCGTGGCTGGGGCTTTCGGGTGGTGTTCACGCCAGTCAGCTCAATGTGATGAGGTCTTCGTTGCTTCCATTCGGTTGCTTTTATTTCGTCTGTTACCTATTTGGTTTTTATGAAAAATGTTTCCTCCACAAGAACAGCCACTGCAACGAAAGGTTTAATTTTGAGGGTGGGACAGGTTTTACTAAGTCAGCTTGACTGTCCTGGAGCTCACTGTGTCAATCAGGCTAGTCTCCAGCACACAGAGATCTGCCTGCCTCTGCCTTTAAAATTTTTATTTTTAATATATGTGTGTGTGTGTGTGTGTGTGTGTGTGTGTGTGTGTGTGACTATTTGGCAGAGGAGAAGAGAAGATCACCTGGATCTGGAGTATAGGTCACTGTGAGATGCTAGATATGGATGCTGGGAACTGAACTCAGGTCTTCTGAAGAGCAGGAAATGTTCTTAGGCATTGGGTCATCATTAGCATGAAGGATTTAATTTCAGTGGGGCCTAATTTTCAAACAGATTTTTGGGGGTTTTGAAAAAGCCTTACCCCCAGTTTGCAGACAACTTCCCCTCCTCTTTTTAAACAGAGGCCTGGAGCCCTGCTGTTGGTGTCCTGACCTCTCCCCTCAGTACTGGGGTGGAAAGGTTTGGTTTATGGTCATGTCTGCTGCCTCTTGGATATGTTGTGTGAGTAAGGAATGGCTCTGTTGATTGAGGACTTTCCCCAGCCAAAGCTTGGACATCTTTGTTAAAAATGGGCCAGATTGTGGTCATCTGACTCTAGGAACCCGTCTGCTGGCTCCTCATGTCGTAGAGCACTCAGTGTCTGGCTGGATGGTTTTGAGAGCCCTTGGCAGCTTCTCATTTTGTCCATGTGTCTGAATTCTTTGCAATTCTGTATGGTTCCATCATGGACTCTCTGGTTTCTTGGTGTGGTGTCTGCTGAGCTTGTGTCTGAAGTGTTGGATCTAGAGGTCAGTTTGCCGTCTTGACAGGGCGGAGTACCTGCCTTTCCCTTCAGGCCTTTCCTCTGGGCAGTGTTATTCTATGACCTAGGCAGCAGTGGCCCTGTGCACTGTGTTTTCAAGCCCTACTTTGTGCAGGGTGCTGGAAATAGAAATTTGTAAAATTTCGTGCCATACCTCTGGCTTCCCTTGGGTTCTGCAGTGGCTCCTGGGTTGCTACACATGAAAGAAACCCATCCCAAGATTGTAACTTCTGTTTTGTAAGTTTTTCTTGCTTCCATTTGTGGAGCTCCTACTAGTCACTGGAAATGCCAGGTCATGTTTGGAAGTCCCTGTTAATTGTGTAGAAGTAAACCTTTGAGCAGGGGTTGTCTGAGCAGGGTCTGACGTGTCCTGAGTGAGCAGTGCCGCCTGAGTGAGCAGGTGCTGCCTGAGTGACCTGTCCCGAGTGACCTGTCCTGAGTGACCTGTTCTGAGTGCTGTGTCCCGAGTGACCTGTCCTGAGTGACCTGTTCTGAATGCTGTGTCCCGAGTGACCTGTCCTGTCCTGAGAGACCTGTCTTGAGTGACCTGTCCTGAGTGACCTGTTCTGTCCTGAGTGGCCTGTCCTGAGTGACCTGTTCTGAGTGACCTGTCCTGTCCTGAGTGACCTGTCCTGAGCGAGCAGGTGCTGTTTCTCACTGGTGGGGGTTAGGATGGTGTCCTGCTGACCTGTGCTCTTCCAGGTGCCTCAGGTCTCGGGCTGTGCAGGTTAGAGCTGGATCGGTGTGGCTACCACTGTCTCCCACCATGGGCACAGTAAGGGGCTGTTGCCCAGGACAGGGACTCTGACCCCCGCCTTGCCTGAGGGAACCTTGTGACCTCACTGCCCTCTTGGGTGTCTGAGGCTGTGTACCTTGGGAAGGTGAGGACCCTGTGCTTTTTACAGGTGGGCTGTTCTCAGACCCCCACCCCAGATGCTCCCCAGGAAACCCCTTCGGCTTGGAAACATTCATTCAGTCAGGTCATACATACAGCGACTTCTCTCCTTCCATTTCGGTGACTCTCATACCCTTTTTCTCTGAAGGAATTTCGGACCTGGCTGAGGGAGGAGTGGGGCCGCACGCTGGAAGACATCTTCCACGAGCACATGCAGGAGCTGATTCTGATGAAGTTCATCTACACCAGTCAGTACGAGTGAGTCAGGGCCCCTGTGGTAGTGGGAAAGTAGCTCACCTCACGCTAGATGTGAGTGCAGCTGTCTCTGTGCGGGTGTGGCCTACCTACGGGGACTGTACCATCCACAGTCTGTGAGTGCTCTGAATGCAGCCCCCCTCTCTGTGTATGGGTAACACAGCTGTTTCCTCTCTTTGGATACTGTGAATTCAGTTCTCCCTTTTCTGTGTGGGTATTGTGGATTTAGTCCCCCCTTTCTGAGTATGGGTATTGTAGGTGCTGGTCCCCTTTCTCTGTGGCTGCTGTGAGCACACCCTTACCTTCACCCCTCCTGTGATATTACCTTTGTCACCCCAGTGTAGGCATCAAGTGTCCAGTGTGTGCTGAAGCCAGGTGGCCCTGGGAAGCCTGGTGTTAGCCTCCTCCTGGCCTCTGGTTCCATGTCAGATCATGACCCCTCATAGTCCTGTAGACATAGGCTTCTTTCGTGAGGGTAATGGTGAGCTGTGCTGTACTCATGAGTTTGCCCTCCTGGGCCCTGAGCGTGCACACTGGTGTCAGGAGTGCTGTGCCCCAGGGCTGGGGGCGGGTGGCTTAGCCAAGGGGCTGCTAGGCATGGCGGATACCTGTCTAGTCAAACTGAGCTCCTTGCTTCTTCTGTTCATGCCCTGCAGCAACTGCCTGACATACCGCCGGATCTACCTCCCGCCCAGCCACCCCGACGACCTCATCAAACCAGGCCTCTTTAAGGGCACCTATGGCAGCCATGGCCTGGAAATTGTGATGCTCAGCTTCCATGGCTCACGTGCCAGGGGCACCAAGATCACGGTGAGCTATACCATTGCCTCACAGCCACCTGGTAGGCAGGCCTGAGTCCACCATGCTCCAGGGACACAGGATTCGGCGAACAAGGATCCTGCAGTGCTGGTCGTGCTGAGTTTTAGGTCCGCTCCAGCATGGATGACCCAGACGTCTAGGTTCTGATTGAGCTGGCACTCGGGAAAGGCACCCCAGGCTGCCTAGCTGACACTCTTGTGCAGCTTCGTTGGGACCCTCTGCCTAAGCTCATGTTGGCTTGGTCAGTGTTGTGGTCTGGGCTGAGATAAAGCCCTCGTCCTGAGTTCTGAATGACTGGCTGCACACGTGGCTGCTAATGGCCAAGGCTCCTTAGCCACCACATTCACCTGTCATTGAGTTCTGGGGTTTAGGTTGTACTAATGCCTCCAGAGCAGAAAAGCCTCTGTCGGGGGCTTTTCTGGCTCACATCCCTCTGCTGTGGGAGAAACTCCATACAGATCAGGATAGGATCCAGAATCAGAGTGATGCCGGCCTCCTCCCCTGGGGTTTTAGCACCACACCACAGAGTGGCTGGGCCGAGGTGATGGGGGCTTCCTCCAGGCAGATAGCCTGAGCTGAACCTCTGGCCTGCTCTCAGCCAGGCTCTGAGAGGGTCCACATTGCTAGGCAAGAGGAATCTCTAGACACCGGTGAGCACCTGTGTGGGCCCACGCTCCCAGTGGGCATCTCGTGTCACTCACTGGTGCTGTGGTGGTTCTGGGAGCTGATTTGTGAAGGAAACCTTCACTCTCGTGCCTTCTAGGTGGCAGACCCTGAGCGTGCTCCGCAAGCCAGGAGGTTTCTGTGGGTTTCCCAGCCCTGCTGACGGCCACCTGTCCTCTCTGCAGGGTGACCCCAACATCCCTGCGGGGCAGCAGACTGTAGAGATCGACCTGCATCGCCGCATCCAGCTGCCCGACGTGGAGAACCTCCGCAACTTCAACGAGCTCTCCAGGATCGTCCTGGAGGTCCGAGAGCAAGTGCGGCAGGAGCAGCAGGAGGCTGGCGAGGACCCTGCTCCGCCCCGGGAGCCTTTGGCCAAGGGCCCTGACGGGCCACCTGCCGAGGGCAGCAGAGAGCCTGGCAGTGGAGCTGAGGCAGCCGGGCAGTCGGCCTCATCTGGGCAGGGGCAGCCGTTTGTGTTGCCTGTGGGTGTCAGCTCAAGGAATGAGGACTATCCCCGCACTTGCCGGCTCTGGTGAGGATTGGGGCCCAGCTCTTAGCCAGCATGGCTCTGGTGGCTTCTGGGAGGGTGGCGGGGCCCCTGCCTCACAGCTTAGAAGTCTGTTTTCAGGTGTTTTGTCATGTGGGGGTGGGAGTGAAAGGTAGAGAGAGGTGTCTGGGCCGTGGGTCACGTGAGGTCAGGACAGCTCTTGGAGTAGATCCTCTCTCACCTCTGGGCTCCAGGGATTGGGCTCAGGTTGTCAGCCTCATAGCGAGCGCCCTTACCCACTGAGCCATCTTGCTGGCTCAGGGTCTGTTTTTGGCTCATGGTTTCAGCCATTGTGGTGGGGGGCTGGGCTATGTTCCTGCTGCAAGCGTGTGGCAGAAGCAACTCACGTACAGACCAGGAAGCAGATTATAGGCTAGAAGCAGGGGTCTGGCTATCCCAGTAAACTCCTTCCTACAGCTAGGCCCTGCCTGCGGAGGGAGCCACCGTCTTCCAGAACAGCATCAGTAGCAATCACACCCTGTCCTGGGTGTGGCATGGGGCGGGACACACAACACTGCAGGTCAAACACAGCACCCTTTCTGGAAGGACCCAAGGTGGGATTTCCAAGAGCCTCGGGACATGGGGCCACTTCAGGTGGCACAGACTGCAAAGCTTTGCCAGTGGCTCAAAAGATGACTGGGTTATCCAGGTGAAAAAGACAATGCCACACGGAAAGGAAAATGCCACACGGATTTGACAAGCGGGTGGAGCAGGGGAGGGTTCCAGTCCTGTAGTGGGCCTGGGTGTCCTGTAGGGGGTGCCATCACACATAGCTCACACCGCATGGTCAGTGCAATTCATGAGGCTCTGTACTTTCTTCCCACTACTCCCTGTCTCTCCTGCCTTTGAAGTCAGACAGCCCCTTGGTGGATTTGTCATATGTGCTGACTGTTGGGGCGGGGCTTCTCTGTCTTCCCTGTCCACTCCTGGAGATGCTGGGCCACTGACCCGCAACCTCACCAGCCGGGCACCAGCCCACACCTTCTCGACCTTTGCCCCTTAGTCTTTAGCCCTGGCCACTGTCTTCAGCTCACACTGGGCCCACCCGCATCATTCATGCCATTTTGCAAAGATGAGTAAGGGCCAGGTCCCTGCTCTCTGAGGAAGCCTTTGCTGCCCTCTCTCTAGGCCCTGCGGCCATTGTTTACCCGCCTGGAGAAGGACATGCTTTTCCCTGTCTACGGAGCCTCTAATCTGCAGTGCTGTTCTCTGCTCTCCCAAGCAGCCTCAGTCCTACGTGCCTGGGTGTGGGGAGGGGCACGGCAGAGTTCCTGGCGGGCCTGCCTGGCATTCCTACCTCAGTTGCCACAACGTTTTTGGGCCACAAATAAGCAAATCTTGGTCTCTTGCACACAGACTAAGTGTGCTTCTTTACAGAGTTCAGTCAGGGACCTCTGACCCTAACCCTGTAAGGAGGTTAACCCTCCTTGGGCGCTGCTTACCGGCCAGTTGCTGTGGTGTGACTGGAGCTATGGTAGTGGCTGGCAGTGTACTGTGCGTGCCCCATATGCACTGTGCGTGCCCTGTGTGGTGCAGGCTCCGGCTCTCCGGGCGCCTTCTGATGGCTTGCTCTCTTGTGTCTCTAGTTTCTACGGCACAGGCCTCATCGCTGGCCATGGCTTTACCAGTCCCGAGCGCACTCCCGGCGTCTTCGTCCTGTTCGATGAGGACCGCTTTGGGTTCCTCTGGCTGGAACTGAAGTCCTTCAGCTTGTACAGCCGAGTCCAGGCCACCTTCCAGAATGCCGATGCCCCGTCGCCGCAGGCCTTTGACGAGATGCTCAGGAACATCCAGTCCCTCACCTCCTGACCTCCGCGTGGGTGGAGAGACTGCACTGGGAGCCGGGGTGGGGGAAGCATGCACTTTGGAAATGAACGCACACCTTCTCACTAGGGTCCTGGTTGCCCCGAGGCACTTCTTGTATAGGGTGTAACATACTCTTGTATATTTGATTTGTCAGTAGCTATGAAGGAGAACTTTAAGCATGGTGGGGGAACAGAACAGTTGAGCCAGGGTGAATCTGACTGGCTGGTGGCTGTGGCGCAGAGAAGCAGGCGGAAAGCGAATCTGTCTTCAGGGAGGGTGACACAGCCACCGTGGATCACGGATCTGCTGCACCTGTTCCCCTGGATGAGCTAAACAGTCACAGCTGGGCAGTGGCACAGTGGAATTGGTGGGGTACGAGGCACAGAGACCCCAGATGGCTTCCATTTCCTCACTTGCTTAGACGCGGGCATCCTACCATGACCTGTTTTCCTGTCCTGACTGTAGGAGCCACCAGGGAGTGTCACTGCAGTCTCCATTCTGGCCCCCTGGTGTCCTCCGTGTCACACCTGCTCCAGCGTGAGAGCCAAGCTGTCAGGGCAGCTACTAGCTTGCCCCCAGAAATCACACACACTCCTGGTCTTCCACATGAACGATCGAGAGCTGGCCCAGCCTGTTTGTCTGTAGGGCCTGCCCTGGCTGGACGCCACAGCCCCATTGCTTTGGTCGTGTGTCTGTGCAGGTGCCTCTCACAGTGTTGACGGTGTCAGTAGAAATGCCCGTGAACCCTTCCTAGGTGAGAGAGGGCAGCTCTCAAGACAGTCACACTTCCGTGTGGCAGTATATTCAGGAGTGTTGCTAATTGAGGACTCATCTGCTCAGAGGTCAGTGCTGGGCTGTACTCATGTCTGTTTTGGGAACCCTTTTTGAGGTCAACATTTGTGTCTCCCAAAGGGCAGAGACCCTTGGGAGCTCCTGCCAGCACTTCCAAGGTTTAGTAGTCTTCTAGGCTGCCTCTTCCCCCTTGGTCCTTGTCCCTGGGGGCTGCTGCAGGTCCTTGTACTGGGTGTTCAGAACTTGTCCTACTGAAGGTGGCAGCCACAGAGGATGGCCGTATCCTCTCTCACAGTGGCAGGCCCTTCCTGCCAGAAGGGTCTGCAGACTTGGAAGGCAGTGTGGCACAGGAGCCTGGTGAACTGGTTTTTTATGCTGGCTTTCTGTCGGGTGCTGTAACAGCCTGCAGTGAGCCACCAGGGCTGGGTCCTGACATCCAGCATCTTTTGCAGGGTTGAGCCCCAGCCTTTTGTTCCTTTCTTGGTTAGCCATGAACATTTCTATTGTGCCAAATGGGGCAGGCTCTGGACAGTGGGGGCTGTGACTAAGAAGCCGCAGGGACAGTCCAGACCAGACAGCTGGACATGCAGGTGGCCGCTCTTGTGGTTTCACCGTGTTTGGAGAAAACCAAGGATACATTTTTACCCAGGCCCCGAGGCTTGCTGTGGGATGCTGTGGTTCAGAGTTTTAAATCTCCTTAGGCACTTCCAGTTAAGAAGGGGTAACCACACATATTAACCAACCACATATTAGCTTTCCTAAACACATGCCCTGTTTGCTGCAGGTGAGGGTTGATAAAGCTGACATCACTGTTGAGTACAGATGAAACTGTGTTGCCTGGTGTGGGGAATAGCCAGGCCCAGGCACTCTGCAGGCAGCAGGTAGACGCCTATGTCCCTGGGCCTCCCCATGCGAGCACGCTGGTGGCCTTGTCATTTTGCGGCTCATGGTGCATAGTCCGCGGAAGTTGGAGAGAAGGCCTCTCGTGGGTTTGCACACTTGGCCTGCTCCACTGTGTGTGGTTGGGGTCAGGTGCAAGCCTCAGGAAGCTTTTCTGGGAGGGAACGTCCTTTTGCGTGAGGATGTTGCTGATGTCTGTTTAGGCCCCGATGTGTTCAGGCCCTGATGCAGTCAGGACATTGGCCACCGTTTCTGAGACTTCCAGCATCTACATGCAGTCTGTCCTTGGGAGCCCAGCACTGGGAGTCCTGAATCACCTTGTGTCCCTCTGGCATCAGCTGCCTGACTGACTGTGGCATGTCTTCAGACCCTGGGCCGCTCTGCTCTGGACTGTCAGCTCTGTGGCATCCCTGTACCTCCTCTTGGACCTCCTGTCCCTGCATGTCTACCAATAGCGGGCGCTTGGCAGTGGCTTCTGGCCAGATGCTGCGCCAGCCAGTCCTTCCTCACAGTGTGCAGTGAACTCAGATGCACTTGCTTGTTAGACGTTCCTTTGCCGAGACGTTGGAGCTGAGCACTTGGATAGCCAGAGCTCATCACCAACCGCTGCTGTCTATCCCAGCCCTCCAGCGACTCTCTCTGGTCGCCAGGCTTGCTGGGACAATACACCGCCCATCATATGTTCACTTTTTGGTACTTGTGGGCACTAGTGGAAAGGAACCATCCTCCTCAGCTGTCAGGATTTGGTGAACCCCAGGACACCCTTGTTCCTTGTTCCCAACCTTGTTTGGGGCTCTTTTCCTCAAGACAGTATGCACGGACGCCATCCGGCACCTGACCTGTAATGTGACGCCGGGCAGAGCATCTGGGTGTGCCCAGCCCCTTCTGCTCCCCACCTTTGTGTCCTGATTGGGAAGAGTGTCAGCCTCCTCAGATCATCATCCATTTGCTGTTATGTACCCAGTCTGTGGTTCTGGGGAGAAGCTGTGAACAGGGGGTATGGTTTAGAACTTGTGAATGCGGCACTGGCAGTCACAGCCCCTTGGCCCATATGACCAACCTTCAAAGAGGAGTGTAGTGGTGGGTAGGGACACCGAAGGCACCTGAAGGACAGCTTTCTGTGGCTGGGTCCTTTGTGTTTGCATGGAGACCAACAAAATTCGCCAGAATGTGCTTTCTCAGCCTGGTGACTTGTGCTCACAAGCCTGTTTGGAAAATGTGGTTTGTCTCGAGTGCATCCAAGTTCTGGATAGAGGGCAGCTCTTAAAAGTCCTCTCAGGTCAGCTCAGCTTTGCCTAAGGGTCAAAGAAGGACCCTGAAAAAGTAGCTGCTGTGTTCCTGGTGTCTGACGTCACCTGTGACACTATCACCTGGGATGTGTGGTTTTCTCCTTTCAGTTTTCAGTAAACCTGTTTTTGAAGCCTTGTTGTGGGCCTTGTGATTTCTTTCTGTGGGGTTAAAATGGAGTTGGGGGCCCCCAAGGGGTGGCTGGCATTGTGCATCCTACACATACACACACACACACACACTTTTTAAAAAAAGATTTATATATACAGTGTTCTGCCCACGTGTGTTCTGGCAGGCCAGAAGAGGGCACCAGATCTCATTACGAATGGTTGTGAGCTGCCATGTGGTTGCTGGGAATTGAACTCAGGACCTCTGGAAGAACAGCCAGCACTTTTAACCTCTGAGCCATCTCTCCAGCCCACACATTTTTATATATTTGCTTGCTTGTGTGCATCACACGCATGCCCAGTGACTAAAGTATTCAGATGTCAGATCCCCTAGTACTGGAGTTATAGATGGTTTTGAGCTGCTATGTGGGTATTAGGACCCAAATTCGGGTCCTCTGTAAGAGTGACCAGTGCTTTTAGCTGCTAAGCTATCTCTCCAGTCCCCTGATCTAAAGCAAAGCTTCAGCTTTTGCAAATGAGGGTGAAGAATTAAGGTGATTGCTGAGAGCTCAAGAAAATGTTGGCTTGTGTCCTTGCCCCACCCAATGTCCCTGAGGTCCAATGGAGACAAGGTGGCAGGCAGTCATGCCCTTGATGGACAGAAGTCCCTTAAGTGTTGTGACGACATCCATAGCAAGGTGGCAGCTTTGAGAACGCTGGTGCCTGTCCGGGTGGCTGAGAAAAGTCCAGAGCAGCACCCCAGCCATGTGGGGGCATGGGCAGGCAGGACCCAGGGCCGATGTGCATGAATCACTGTTGCCCCATGCAATGTTGGGCGAGGTACAGTATTATGTTTATGTAAAGTGTAAGAACAAAACAGCTATATTTGATTAACACAGTGTCTTGCTTCACAAGCATGAAGATCTGAGTTCAGATCCCTGGGGTCCTGACATAAAAAGTTCAACACTGGCCAATGGCTCAGGCTTATTTCTAGCTGGCTCTTAAATCTTAAGTCAACACATTGCCATGAGGCTGGGGTTTACCAGTAATGTTCTGGCATCTTCTTCAGCAACTACATGGCGTCTCTTTGACTCCACCTTCTCTATATCTCTGTTCAGATTTCCTGCCTGACTTTACTCTGCTAAGCCATTGGCTAAAACAACTTTATTCACCAACCAATTAAAGCAACACATAAACAGAAGGACAGCCCACATCATGGAGGGACCAGTAAAGTGGCTCAGTGAATAAAGGTGCTTGCGAAATCGGGAGACCTGAGTTTTGGTCCCTGGACTCCATAGTAAAACAAACAAGCAAAACCCCAGATGCCATGGCTTGAGTCTAATCCCAGCATGCCTATTGGTTGGGAGGTGAAGACAGGAGAATCAGCTTGAAGCTCATGTATGCAGCAGAAGGGAAGAACCACCCCAGCAAGGCTACTTTGATCAACCACGTCTCCTCCACGCCCCCCACAAACACAGATGCAAAACCGTGGGGTCCCCGTGACACAGGACAACAGGGTCACCAAGAGAAGCCCCAGTGAGAGCCCATTATCAGTGATGTAACAGAAACCAGAGGCCTCAGACCGGACCAGTGACTCAAGGCAGCCAACACTTAGAAGGGGAGATGGCAGTGCGGAGGGTAAACTGTCTCAGACGCCACACTGCAGCTTCCACGACGGGGTTCTTCTTTGTTGTTGTTTGCTTTGGTTTTTCTTTTACATTTTGTTTTTGGGGGAGGTTGCAAGGGTGTAGAGTGGATGCAGGGGGACGGGGTGATGGGTGGGTTGGGATGCATGATGTGTGATCTGCAAGGGATCAATAAGAGCTAAAAAAAATTCATGCACATGTGGCTGTGTAAGTCTGAGTGACTTTTTGATGAAAATGTTTTAAGTACTTTTTAAAAATTAATGTTTTTTTCTTTTTAAAAAAGATTTATTTATTTATAATGTATACAGTGTTCTATCTGTATGCTTGCTGAGCAGAAGAGGGCACCAGATCTCATTACAGATGGCTGAGCCACCATGCAGTTCCTGGGAATTGAACTCAAGACCTCTGGAAGAACAGTCAGTGCTCTTAACCTCTGAGCTGTCTCTCCAGCCCTTAAGTATTTTTTTTTTTTAAAAAACGAAAGCAATAGAGTAAGATACTCAGTGTTAACCTCCGGCCTCCACAAACATGTGCAGTCATGCACCCACAGCAGGTCCACATACACAGATGCCACACAGGAAGTCCACGTACACAGATGGCACATAGGAAGTCCACGTACACAGATGCCACACAGGAAGTCCACGTACACAGATGGCACATAGGAAGTCCACGTACACAGATGCCACACATAAAATTTAAAAAGCATGCAGTTAATGCTGCCTTGTGGCCACTGCTGGGCCTCTGCCCACACCAGGGCGGGGCCACTGCTGCAGATGTACCAGAAATGCCTACAGGAGCCGCCAGTGGCCTTAGAACAAGACACTGGTGTCCACGTGGGGAAGGTGCATTTGGTGATGGGCAGATATGTCTCCACACAGCTCTCAGAAATAGCTTTGTTTTCATAGAGGTGGGGCGACGCTACGCAAGTTGCCTGCCTTTGAGGTACAGCCCCAGGTCTGCAATACTTTAAAGCAAAATATCTGGTGGCCCTACTTGCCCTTCCCATTCCTGAGTCTGACCATGGACTTTTTTGTCCCATGGGAAACAGCCCCCAGCTATGAGCGTAGAGCTAGATGCTTTTTGGTGCTGAGATGGCAGATGGGGGCTCATTGAGGGGGTCACGGTCTGTCAGTCGGCACTGATGTAGCCTATTTCCTATTTTAGGTGTCTGGGTAGCTCCAGTCTTCCAAGGCACACAGTGTTTTTGGTCAATCTGATGCCCCAAACATTCCTTTCAAAGAGGCTGTGGTGTGACCTCTAGTGGGCACTCAGGGTCACTGCAGCCCACAATACCTCAGGAAAGTCAGGGCTTTGTAGGGCTTTCACAGCCCTGACTGTGGCTTTCAAGCCCATAGGTGGCACAAAGCAGTGCCCTATGTCCTCAGGGAAAGCTGCTATGCAGTGAGGGCGTTCTTCACTCTTCCAAAAAGGGAAGACTGCTAACCCCTTGTCCCGCTGGGTTTTTATTATTCGTGCGTGCTAGAGTAACCTGATGATACTCTTTACTTCTTACAGTGTGGAGGGCCGGACCACATTCTCCATTGCTTCTCGGAACAAAGGTAGAGATTGACCTCTGTGACCTCAAGGTGTGGCGGTACACGCCTTTAGTCCTGATGCCTGGGCGGCAGAGGCAGATTGACCTCTGCAACCTCAAGGCGTGGTAGTACACGCCTTTGGTCCCGATGCCTGAGAGGCAGAGACAGGCAGACCTCTGTGAGTTCAAGGTGATGTAGCACACGCCTTTAATCCCAGCACACGTGCTTGGTAACTCTCTACCGCTGCGTCCCTGCCTACTCCCGAGGCATCATCTGGGATAATGGGCAGCGGACCAATCCAAGAGTGACACGTCAGAAGTGAGGACTGTTTCCTTTATAAGGGCTGGGTTCCCCTCATTCTGGGTCTCCGCCATGTAAGCTTATGCTCTCCCTCTCAAGACGCATAAAGCTTTACTGCAGAAGAATCCTAAGTGTCCCGCGTTGTTCTTGCTGGCGAGATGGTAGCGCGGGACATTACAGGTCCTAGGGAGCCCAGCCTGGGCACATCATGGCAGGTGCCAGCCTCTGTCCCTCAGTGTCACCCAAAGAAGTGACTGTGGGAAAGAAAGGTCGAAAGTGCCCAGCACCTATAAACCTTACCTGTGATCACACTCTGCCTTGCTCAGTCAGCTCTTAGCGAGGCCTCTTCTGTGGACCCTAAGAAGGGAAGCCCACAAATAGCTGGGGACAGCCAGAGCAATTTGGGCTGAGGGAGGAGGTGGTTTAATAAGGGGACCACACGGCACTGTGGAGCACAAAGAAGCATCATTGTCACAAACAGGCTGAGCTGCCTAGGGGATGGAGACTGTCAGTGTGGCTGTTTGGATGAGGATACGTGTGTGTGTGTGTGTGTGTGTGTGTGTGTGTGTGATTAACTACGGCCCTGGAGGCTGTGATGAGGACCTCTCAGCCCCACAGAAGCCCCCGAACTGGCTGCCTGGCTGAGAATGGCCTGCAAGTCTGAAGGACACTCGGGCAGTTTCTGCGAGGCCTGGGGGTCTGGGTTCCCGAGTGTCAAGGTTGAGGGGCTGGAGAGGTTGGATGTGGGGCAGAGTTAAGAGGTGTAGCACAAATAATAAAATACCCAGAGACAGAATTTGGGGTTCAACCCGAAAACCAGAAAAGCAAGGCAATCAAGTCACTAGTGAAGTCTTACCTCTACCAAGGCTGGGCGCCCACAAACTTAGCAGACTAAGCCTCTCTCTCCTCCCATTTTATATTCCCTCTAGTGCTGGGATTAAAGACGTGACTCCATAGTACTGGGATTAAAGGTGTGAATCACCATCACCTGGATTTATTTTTGCATTGATCTTGCATAGCCCCGGGTGACCTTGAACTCACAGAGATCCATCTGCCTCTGTCTCCCAAATCCTTGGATTAAAGGTGTGTGCCACCAATGCCTGACCTCTAGTGGCTTAACTTTGCCCTCTGTTCTTTAGGCAAACTTTATTAATTAAAACATAAATAAAACTTCACAATATTTCCATTTTTTTGTCTAAAATAAAAAGGCTGTAACTAATATAAGAAAAAATATATACAATAAGTACAATAACTACATACCGCATATACAGGCAATATGTGCATCAATAATGTCTAGTCCATTTGCATTTGACAAATTCAGAGAAAATATTCCATATCTATCCTATCTTGCTGAGTCCAAAGTCTTGTACTTAATTTTCTTACTATCATAACTTGTTTTCTGTGTCTGATAAACAAGAAAAACTATAACTATCAAGTTTTCAACTCCCTCAGAGACCCAATGAGAAAATAATATTGAGTAAGCAGGAAGTGTAAGCAAATATGCTTTCTTTTTTCCATTTTATGTTTTTTTGCTTCTTTGTCAACAATCAGGTATTTGTAGGTGTGTGGATTGATATTCGGGTCTTCTATTCGGTTCCATTGGTCCTCCTGTCTGTTCTTACGCCAGTACCAGGCTGTTTTCAGTACTGTAGCTCTGTAGTAGAGTTTGAAGTCAGGGATTGTGATGCCTCCAGAAATTCTTTTATTGTACAAGATTGTTTTGACTCTCCTTAGTTTGTTTTTGTTTTTCTTTCCACTTTCTGGTGTCTTCTTCAATTTCTTTCTTCAAAGATTTAAAGTTCTTGTCATACAAGTCTTCTACTTTTTGCTTAGAGTTACTTTGAGATATTTCATGCTATTTGTGGCTATTGTTAAGGGTGTTGATTCTCTGATTTCTTCCCCAGCCCTTTTATCATCTGTGTCCAGGAGGGCTACTGATTTTTTTTTTTTTGAGTCAATCTTGTATTCTGCTACACTACTGAAAGTGTTTATGAGTTGTAGAAGTTCCTTGATAGAATTTTTTGGGGTTGCTTATGTAAACTATCATACCATCAGCAAATAGTGAGCGTTTGACTTCTTTTCTGATTTGTATCGCCATCCCCCAAGCTGCTTCTGTTGTCTTGTTGCTCTAGCTGGGACCTCGATAACTAGAGTGAATAGATATGGAGAGAGCAGACAACCTTGTCTTGTTCCTCATTTCAGTGGGATTGAAGAAGATGCCATCTAAGATTTTGTTTAAATTAATAAGGCCATCAAGTTTTATCCCAATAGTGGGCTGTAGCTGAGAAATGTCTTCAACAATCTTTGGAAGTCATTAAGAGTCTGCAACTGATCTCTCCTAATTTGCACCTTTTTTGGGGGGGGTCTAATTTTCTATAACCCTATTTCATAACCTAAATAATTAATAGAATATTCTCTTTGTGTTTTTTTAGGAGCAATCCCCAACAAGGCAAATTTTTCTTTTCTTTTAAAAACATTCTTTCTAAAGTATCTACATTGGAATCAGATGGCAAAATGTCTTCCATGTAAATGGTAAACTATAGATTCAAAAAATTGCTTGCATACCATTTCCAGTGGCTGATTTATAAAATATTGGCACAGGGTGAGGCTATTTAACATTCCCTGTGGGAGAAACTTCCACTGATGTCTTTTAGCAGGCTGAGAATTATTATATGTACACACTGTGAGGGCAAATCTTTCGCTGTCCTTTTGTTGTAATGGTATAGTGAAGAAACAATCTTTTAAATCAGTAACTATAAGAGACCATCCTTTAGGGAATAAGTAAGGAAAAGGAATGCCAGACTATAGAGAGCCCATTGGCTGAATTACCTTCACCAGCTGGCATAGGAGCAACTAGAAACTAAGCATACTGAGGAATCAACCAACCCTTGGATTTCTCCTGTATTTGTTGTTAAAAAGAAATCTGGAAAATGGAGGATGGTAACAGATTTAAGAGTTGTAATAAGGTGATTCAGCCAATGGGCTCTCTACAGTGTGGCATAATCCAGAAGGGAAGGGCATTCTGAATGGATTATTCTTGAAAAAAAAAAAACAAAACAGTTTCTAGGAATGCTCGGTCTACAATCACTTTTAAAGTGACCTTGTTTGACACAATTATAACATTTGACTTCAAATTTTTCTTCAAATCCCTGGAAATAACCTATCCTACCCATGTATCATCATGCTCATGAGGTTCTCTATTAATTATATCTCAGATCCATTCCTCTAAGGTGATGACCTTGCCTTTAATGGCCTAATTATCTTTTTGCAAAGAGAATTAACATTCTCAAAAGCCACAGTTTCTATGATAATTTGTCTAGCTTCTTGAATTTGGTATCGTTCTATTAACTGCAGAAGTCAATCTTTGTAAGAAATCTGTAAAGGGTTCCTTTAGGCCCTGCATAACTTTAGTAAATGACTTAATTTTCTTTCCTAATTCTCCATTTCTGTTTCAAGCATTCAAAGCTGCTGTGTGGCAAAATCCAGGGTATGGTCATCATACACAGCCTGCCTTTCTATAGTAGTATAGTCTCCTTCTCCAAGAATTCAATCTTGGGAGATTTCCCTGCCTTTAGTTTTTCTCTGTTGCTCAATAATCTTAGTCTCTTCTCTGAACCAGTTACTTCTGTAATTGTGTACCAGTCTCTAAAACTTCATTAACCAAATATTTCCAAGTCATTGGGGGATAATTCTATTACAAACTGACCATGAGTTTAACATTTGCTTCACAAAAGGCGAATGAATACCACAAGAGACTTTTGCTTCCTTGAAACCCTTTAAATCTAACAATGGCACAGGAGCCCAGTTAGCTGTACCAGAGCCTCTGCCACATGGCTATTCCTGTAAGGTTACTGAATATATGAAGGTTGGCTGTCTGAAAACCTCAGGCTGTTCCTCTCTATTATAATGCAGTGCTAAAATTGGTTCTCTATTAAAGTCTTCTGTCTGGATTTGAATCTCTCTGTGATCTGTTTTATTAGATTTTTCTAAGGCCTGGATCTTAGTACTCAGATTAATCAACTTTTTTAGTGATAAGACAAATTTCATAATGCTGATGTTTATAACTGACATCACATAAGTTCCATCTAAATTAGATATCCTCTCATTTAATCGTTCCATTTTCAAACTGTCTAGCATTTTATCATATAGATCCAAATCCCTCCATTGTAATGGTTTTTCCTATTTTTTTTAATGTGGGGAAAAAACTCTTTTAACTAATCCCTCTCTTTAAGAATTCCCAATGGTCTTACCAAATCCACCAATGATGTTGATGACGATGTGAGCCTTATTGCTGCTGTGTAGAACAGTAAAAGCGTTTCAAGTCAGTTATATAGTTTGGCAGCAGCCTGAGAAGGGGGTTCAGGGAGAGCCTGCAACCCACAGTGGAGAGGAGGGAGGGAGGGAGGGAGGGAGGGAGGGAGGGAGAGAGAGAGAGAGAGAGAGAGAGAGAGAGAGAGAGAGAGAGAGAAGAAAGCCTAGCCAGGTAGAGCTGGAGTCCCATGTGTAGCTTCAGTGGGAGCCCACGTGCATCCCTGGCCTGTGTTGATGGTTAAAAAGCTTCAGGCAAACAGCTTTTTTTATTTTGTGAACTTGTTCCCCAAATGCTGGGCACCAAATATAGTATGAATAATAAAATCCCAGAGACAGAATTTGGGGTTCAACCCGAAAACCAGAAAAGTAAGGCAGTCAAGCCACTGGAGAAGTCTTACCTCTCCCAAGTCTGGGTGACCACAAACTTAGCAGACTAAGCCTCTCTCTCCTCCCATTTTATATTCCCTCTAGTGCTGGGATTAAAGACGTGACTCCCTAGGACTGGGATTAAAGGTGTGAATCATTATCACCTGGATTTATTGCTGCATTGATCTTGCATAGCCCAGGGCGGCCTTGAGCTCACAGAGATCCATCTGCCTCTGTCTCCCAAATCCTTGGATTAAAGGTGCGTGTCACAACTGCCTGGCCTCTAGTGGCTTAGCTTTGCCCTTCTGATCTTTGGGCAAGCTTTATTTATTAAAACATAAATCAAATATCACTATAAAGAGGTGACTGTTGGGTCTGACTCCACTTCCCTGTGCATCAGTGGGCTATGATGTGTCACTGGCTGGGTCCCACGAGTCTGTGCCTAAACTCTGGAGCCTGCTGCATGGAGCTTCTGAGTTGACACCAGATCAGGGCAACTGCCGCTGGCTCCACAAAGCATCCACTGGGGTCCTGTGCTGGGTGGCCCTTTGGAAGATAAGCTGCAGAAAGCCACTATAGAGCTCTACACACAGTAGACCTCATTTCTGTCCACTTCTGTAGTCGCAGGGCCTCTGCTGCCCTGCTGGAGTCAACAGGGAACAAGAGCTGCCTGAGAGGGATCGTTTATCCTACCATCACCATGGAGATTCTTTTCCCAGCATTCCATAGTTCCACTGGAAAGCCAGTTCCTACAGAGCACCATGGTAGTGGGGGACAAAGAGGGTGCACAGGCAAGTAGGTGGCTGCTTCTCCCAAATATTTCACAGGGAGGCCTAGGACCATGGGGTGCAGGCTGACGGAGGCATTTGGGAAGTAGCAAGCTATTAGAGCCTGTGTGGGTTTCTTCCCTTTCCTGCTCTGATGACAGTGAGGAAGATGACGGTGACACCATATCCCACGGCATGCTAGGGGAGGACGGAGTGAAGGAAGACCAGGCACAGCCACTGAAAGAACTGGGACGTGCCACCACTGGAGACAGGGAGGAAAGGGTGGCAATGATACCGGTGACCCTAAGAGGAAAAGGTAAGGGTCAAGACAGCAGAGCTGGCAGAGTGTCTACTCCGGGACAGTCACAATACCACGGTCAAAGCAAGAAGCTAAGAGTCTGTAGCAAGGGCACCAGATGAGAAATGTAAACTGAGCTGGCCTATGGTGGCACACACCTTTAATCTCAGCACTCAGGAGGCAGAGGCAGGTGAATCTCTGGGAGTTTGAGGCCAGCCTGGTCTACACAGTTAGTTCTAGGACTGCCAAGGCTATACAGAGAAACCCTGTCTTGAAAAACCAAAACAACAACAATAATAACAGAAACCTCCACCAAAACAAAACAAACAAAACCTCACAAAAACCAAACCCCAAAATCTACTTTAAAATAATAATAATAATAATAAATGTAAAATCCCACTGATCAGAGGCAATGGGGTGGACTTGCGCTAGAACCCTTCAAAGCCTGGAAAGTGTCCTCAGAAGGGGAGTGTGTTCCTAGCACTTTGTTTTCATTTTCTGTTTCCCTCCCTTCCTTCCTTCCTTCCTTCCTTCCTCCCTCCCTCCCTCCCTCCCTCCCTCCCTCCCT